GCGGGCACATCCCCAGTAGGGAGTGTGCAGGAGGCAGCTGATCGATGTTTCTCTCTCATTGATGTTTCTAACTCTCTATCCTTTCCCCTTCCTCTCTGTAAAAAAAAAAAAAAAAAATCAATAAAATATATCAAAAAAAAGTAAAATAAATAAAAGCTGAGCTTTGCTGTGAAGAAATGTACAGTCGTGGTGGGATGTCAACAGTCCAACGTGGACCTGGCCTATGTGGAGTAAGACAGGACACACAGTGCCGGGAGCAGAAGCCCGAACGTGAGCTACACCTCTGAGTCCAGCTTCGTACCCCCACCTCACCTCCGCCAACGGTGGTCCCTCATCGCTAGGAGACCCTGCATCAGGAGTGACACCGGAGCAGGAGCCGGCCGGCCACCAGGGGGCGACCCGAGGGGCAGCAGAACATCATGGTAGGAAGCTGGTGCTGCTCCCCATCTCACAGAGGAGGGACCACGTTACCTAATTCATAGGTTGTGGTGAGAGCAATGAGTTGATACAGATAAGCAACCCACGCTGCACCCAGCCGGCAAGAGAAGCTCAGCAAACACTGGTGCTGTTGTTACTGTTGTGGCTATGGTTGCATCACCGCCCGTGAGGCCGTGCGGATGGCAGGGATGCCAGGGTTACCGTGTACCTGGGAGAAGATCGGTCCCTTGTATTCCTTCATTTAACCCCTGACTTCGTTGCACAGCACCTAACCACACCTCCTCAGGTCCTGCTCTCCTCCCTCATTCTCTCCCGTGGCTCTCAGCCTCCTCCCCTCTGGTGCCCACTGGCTGGCAGGAGACCCACTCAGCCCCACGGGCACCCCCAGGCCTGGGGGCTGTTGGGCATGGGGCCATGGGCTCAGACTCGGTGGGGGTCACTCATTCCAGAGGCACCCAAGTCTGAGTCATGAGAAAAGGCCATCCCGGGTCAGAGCCGGCTCTTGCAGAGCCCACAGCACAGCCTCAAACGGGTCTGGCCTGTAGGCAGAGCTCAAGGAGTCCGGGAACTGGGTGGAAGGAAAAGCTTTCCTTCCCCTTAAGCTCTGACTGAGGTTTATCGTCTCCTTCAGTGAGGAATGTAGACAGCAAACCACCTGCTGACAGTGTACCTGGGCCCATCACCAACAGAAACACAGACGCTTTCATGTCACATTAGAGCTGCTGCAGGTGCCTTAATGTGTTACTAAATGTGCTCATTAAAGAGCCAACATATCACAATACCACAATTACAAGACATATTTTATGACTGCTCTTCAATACAGTCGTTTGCTTTGTAATCCTATGTATTTTATGCATTAAAAAAATACTATTGTGAGTGTGGCCACAGGCCCTACCAGACTGCCAAAGGAGCCACGCCCTGGCTTAGGACCCCTGGTGAGGGCTCCGACATAAGGTGCACGATGGATAAACACACACCTCCTGAAATGTGGCGTTATAGTATTCCTCGGGCGTCACGATCTTGGGCCCACCGAAGTAGTCCAGGAGCCAGATGTTGGTTATGTTCAGCTTGGCAAAGAACCAGTTGTGGCTGGAAGGCCAGTCTTTCATCTCAGGGTGGCGAATGAACAGCGACTGCTTTGCAACGTCAGCCTCGGTCTCATTCACCTGAAAGACAGCGAAGTGACCAGGTTCACATGGGGACAGCCTTCTCATCTGTTAACAATGTGATTCTAGCATTCCACACATCCTAAGCGTTTAGTTACAGATCCTGATTTTTTTTTTACTGTTTTTTTTTCAATTAAGATATAATCCTATATAATAAAAGCCTAATATGTAAGTGTCTGGTCAGCTGTTCAACCAATCAAAACGTAATATGCTAATGATATGTTAAGGCTGCTCAACCGCTTGCTATGATGTGCACTGACCACCAAGGGGCAGACGTGCTGATCGGTAGGATAGCTTGCTGCTGAGGTCTGGATGATCAGGACTGGGCAAGATGGGCCAGGCACGCCCTGGAGCCCTCCTGTAGACCACCCCCAGCCCTGATGGTGCACTGGTGGGGTCCCTCGGCCTGGCCTGTGCCTTCTCACAATCCGGCACCCCTTGGGGGATGTCACAGAGTCGGTTTCGCCCGATCCCCGCAGGCCAGGCCAAGGGACCCCACCGGTGCATGAATCCATGCACCGGGCCTCTAATTCAGAATAAGAGAAGAATAAACTCTGTGTTTCGAGTACTCACAACTGTAAAGTGACTCCTGCCTCCCCTGTATAGACTGTGAAGTGATCACCACAGTGAACTTGGTTAACACCCATCACCACACATACTAGTGCTACAAAAATGCTGTCCTCTTCTCTTTTTCTTTCTTTTTTTTTTGTCATGAGACCTTTTAAGGTCTACTATGCATCCTGATCATAAATGTACGGAAACAAAAAAGCATGATGGAAGCTTGATGATGCAGACAGCAACGAGGAGCTCACATGGAGGTGAGAACGGGTGTGGACATGAGAGACCAGTGCAAGCCCGTTTTCACTGCTAAACGGTAATTTTGAGCTGGTAGGGGACTGGCAGGAGGCACTAGCACGAATGTGCCTGGTGCCAATGACGTATCCCATTAGCAGCTCATTCATCCCAGGACAAATGTGCGGGAAGCACGGGCTGCAGGTACACAAGGTGAGTCTCTAGAAGACGCAGGGAGTCAGGAGCACTTGCTGCCCCGCCCCTTCCTCCTGCCCGCGAACGGCACGCAGACACAGAGATGCCTCCACATAGAACTTCGAGACCATAAACAGAACTGGCCCGTGAAACCGGGGTCAACAAGGTCAGGGAGCAAGTCTGCTGGCTGGGCCATCAGTCAGTGCTCATGACACCTTGCCCTCTGTACTCCCCACGGTTTTACTGAACCTCCTCCCTCCAGCACTCACCCCAAACTGTCCGCATGCACACCCGGGACTTAGTAATGGATTCTCCCCTTCTAACCTACTCAGGACGCTCTCTGCTCTAAGCCGTCACAGTGTGGAGACAGGAAGGGCGCATGCTGTCCAGTGTACAGCACGGCAGGAGAGTGAGCTTGGGCTGAGATGTCCCTTATTTAGGGGCTTCCCAGCTATTAGATCTGTTTGGCCTCAAGAAATGGTCCCTTTTGCCCCTGAGTGTCTGACTGAGCACCTCTATGAACGGAACTGATGAAATCTTTGGCTGCTTGTGAAATTACTTCGTACATGAGGACATACTCAAACTCTGCATCTCAGGCACACACCAGCTTTATTTTATGCTCCAACTGTCTCTCCTTCATTGCTAACAAGATGACGGTTAACTGGCTCTCCTAAAGCCGGTCTGTTCCTGCAGTAACTACGTACCTTGGTGACAGTCCCTGACAGGATGATGTGAGCGCAGAGGGGGCTTTGGGGATCAAATCCATGTTTCCTGCAGAAGTTAGTCTGCGCCAAAGACATGGTCAGCGTAGCAGATGGATTCTCCTGGAGAGAGAAGATGAAGACCTTCTCGTGAAACACTGTGTCTGGAGAGCAATCAGCTTCACATCATGCACACACACCATGTCCAGAGCTCGGCCGCTGTTCTTCCAGAAAACAATGCATTGTGAAACACCATCTTTCACTCCGGACAAGGAAGGTCTATTTGAATAGAGAATAATCTTGACCCTCTCTCCAAAAAGGGGGAGGGGCACTCACATTTTAAATTTAACTGACTCAGAGCCCTCGCCGGTTTGGCTCAGTGGACAGAGCGTCAGCCTGCAGACTGAAGGGTCCCGGGTTCAATTCTGGTTGAGGGCACATACCTGGGTTGCAGGCTGCTCCCTGGCCCCGGCCCTGGTTGGGGCAAGTGCAAGAGGCAACCAACCGATGTGTCTCTCTCACATCAGTATTTCTCTCTGTCTTTCCCTCTCTCTTCCCCTCTCTCTAAAAATCAATGGAAAAATATCCTTGGGTGAGGATTAAAAACACTGACTCAGAATTATTTCAACACTTATTACACTCTTAACTTGTCCCATATTCCCCAGAGAGATTATTATTACAGTACCACCCAAGCACAAGGCCGCTCTATATCTTCAAGAGATCTCAAAGGGTTAGACGTTAATGTGAAACTAGTGCATAAAAACACCAATTGCTCAACTAGCCACTTCCACAGCTTCAGCGAGAAAGTGGCTGAGTCATGCTTCTTGGTGATCTTGTGCTGGCAGACATGGTCACGGGATTTCAAAACAGGAGAAGTTCATTCTTGCTCTGACAGCAAGAGAACGCTTGGACTCAGAATTGAGGCAAGCAACATTCCCAGTTCTTTGTTACAGAAGCCAGCTTCACCAACGGCATTGCCGGCAGACTGCAGCCAAGTTCACATGCTGCATTTTAGACTGCTGAGCTCCTTAAAGGCAAAGGGTCTTGTGCAGCGAATTCTGCCATGTCATGGTGGCCCCTCAAAGCAGTCAGTCAGAAGAAATCTCCTTGAAACCATTTAGCCAAATATTTGCGTCTGTACATTCTTGGGCAAGGCACCCAGGACAGCCAGAAAAAGACAGGGCGGGGGACTAGGACACGGTCTCCCCTTCTGTGAGTTTATAGTCTGGTTGAAAAGTCAGACATAAACAAAACTTAAATACTGCCAAACAAAGATACGGAAGACATAAGGCAGCACATAACTAATTGCCAAGTGACTGGTACAGTTAAGCGGTTTTCAAGTTCAGTGTGAAGAGCCATCAGCAGGGCCTGGGGTGACACAGAAGCTGTAGGGAGCTTTGTGAGGTATTCAAAACCAGGGACCTGTGTCTGCAGAAAGACAGAGCTGGGAAAGTGTAAGAGGCGACTGAGAGAAGGGAGAACCCCAACTTGCTTGAAGGAGTAGCTTTCTGAGGGGAGTGGGTGGGGGGAGGGTGGTTCCAGGCCAACCTCAAGAGTCGAGGTGATCTTTTGTAGGCTGGCATCGGCTGGAGATTTTTAAAATGCTGATTTTTGGGCTCCCTTCCCAACCTGGGTTCATGCATTTCATTTCATAGCGGTTCATTTTTTTTTAAAATCCTCACCTGAGAATATTTATTGATTTTAGAAAGGGAGAGATGGAGAGAGAAACATCTTGTATGAGCCCCAACTGTGGACCAAACAAGAAACCTAGGTATGTGCCCTGATGGGAAATGGTGTACAGGATGATGCTCCAACCAACTGAGCCACGCTGGCCAGAGCAGGTACATGCACTTTCAACAAACACCCAGGCGGGTCTTAAGCTTCAGATGTAAAGGTTTCCGAACAGAAGGCAATTCCAAGTGGTTCTTGTCAACCTGGTCGGCAGGGTGGCCAGGAGCAGACAGAGGTCAGAGGAGGAGGACAGTAGAAACTGTAAACCAACCCTGACTGCTTAATGATGGAATCCGAGTCAGACTATCTCTGATGTGGCCTTGCCTTTTCGCTCCACCGTGGAAACCTGTGATCCTGGGCAGGGTCTGTCTCTTCCCGGACCTGTCAGACCTGGGCTGAGTCCCTGCCCCTCTGAGCCTGTCTTCGTCACAAGTTTAAACATGTCTGCCCAGCAGTGGTTCTCAACACCTCCCCCCATCAGAAGCATCGGGGTGGGAGGGGGCTGTTTTTCAGTGAAATGTATTTTAATAAAATGCCTTGTAGAGTGTTGGCTCGCAGACTGAAGGGGCCCAGGCCCGATTCTGACCAAGGGCTCTGATCAAGGGCACGTGTCTGGGTTGCAGGCTCGATCTCCAGCCCCCATCCAGGTGTGTGTGGCAGGCAACCCATCGATGTGTCTCTCTCACATCAATGTTTCTCTCTCCCTCTCCCACTCTCTACAAATCAATGGAAAAATATCCTCAGGTTAGGATTTTTAAAAATGCCTTGGCATCATATTTAAAAGTCCTCCCAGGTGACTGTATCTGCAGCCGAGGTTGAGCCCCACTGACGGAGTGGACTGAGCCTGCTTTGAGCACACGTTCCAGGAGCAGAGTGGGCTGGGAATAAGACGGGGTGGGGGGGGGGGGGGCCTGGGCTAAGGAAGCAGCTGCTTCTGTTTTTGCTCAAACCCTGTGACACCCACTGTCACCTGATCTTCCAATTTTTCAAGAAGTTGCAAGTTTAGGTTTAGGTTTAAAAATCTCAATTTTTAAACGATGGAACTAACTCAATTTTATTTTAAAAACAAAACAAAACCTTGTGTGGGCCAAGGAAAACTGGTTGGTGGACATACTCAGTTCATGAGCCTGTGGGCTGTGTTGTAAAGGGGATGGACCTGTTTGGCCACTGGCTTTGGGAAAGTTACTTAACCACCTAAGCCTCACAATAAGGACAGCAACACCTCCTCAAAGCGCTATCAAGAGACAAGGACCAGAAAGAGATGGTCCCCCTGGCGCATAGTGGGTGCTTAATAAATATCACTTGCTTTCATCTTATCTTTACCAACTTCGTTGTCTTTTCCCAGTTGCCCTCAAATCTGGGATCTCTGTCAAAAGACCCTCCACCAAATCAAGCTTCAATCGGAAACTGTGTGGCTCTAGCATCCCCAGCTGCATGTCTGACACCTCTCTTGGGAGGGCAGGGGTCCCCCGTAGTTGTAAGCCTGGCCTTGCCCCTAAAAGGTGGGCAAAGGGTGAGGGGGATGGACTTCCCATCAGTTCTGCCTCCCGCCGAGGTAGCAATGTGCCCAGGAGGCCCACAGGCTGCTATAACCATTGTTACTGTCCATGAAGTTGGATGCCAGCTTCTTGGTGCGGAAGGCGGGGGAGGCAAGAGAAACCCTTAGGAAGTGCTTAACTCCCCAACAACCTCCGCGCCCTGTACAGCTTTCCCTGGTGGAGCCCAGAGTCAGGGGGGGTTGCCCGGGTCCCTCCCGGGTGGGTGCAGGTGACAGTGGAAAGCTTGGCCCTCCGGCCCGGGTGCCCACGCTCACCTGCAGGTTGCCCACCAGCTGCTGCATGGGGCTCAGGTAGAAGTAGGGCACGCCGCTGCCCGCGCCCGGGGGCCCGTCGCTGAGCGACAGGACGTCGGCGAAGGCCCAGCCACGCACCGCCTCCTGCGTGGAGATGGTGGCCAGCGCGCCCCAATCGCAGACGTGCGTCACGAAGCGGGCCACGCGCGCCGCGTCTTCGCGGGGCGGCAGCGGCGGCAACAGCCCGGCGGTGTCCCAGTCCCCGTGGTCCCTGCCGCCTCGGCCCCGCGCCGGTGCCACCAGCAGTGCCACCAGGGCCACCAGCGCCGGCGTGAGCAGAGCGGAGAGCAGCGTGCGCGCGGAACCGTGGACAGGCCGGGCCATGGCGGCGACTCCGGCGACGGTCTCGGCCCGCGCCCTCCAGCTGCCCCGTATTAACCCTGTCGGGGCCACGCCCACCGCGGGAGACCACGCCCCTTCCGCGAGGACCCAATCAGAGCCGGGGGAGGAGGGGCGGGCCCCTGGTCGCCCAGCAACCTGCGGGCTTGGTCTGTCAGTCTTCCCGAAGCTCCGCCCGCCTGTCTGGAAGGATTGGGAAATGATCCCAAGCGGGCGGTTGTTTTGTTTGACACGCGAGAAACCCGGGCCCCAAAAAAGTAAGCAACTTGCCTAAGTCGTCCTCTGGGAAAGGAGCGACCCCGCGCGCACACGCACGCACACGCGCGCAGCCCCGGGCGCCTTCCCGGAGGACCTTTGGATCTGGGTCTCGGGCCTCCGAGAGGAAATGCTGCATTTTCTACACTAGTTTCCCTTTTCTGTTTGCTTCACTGCCCGCACCAAAGCGCAGCAAGGTGCCAGGGATAAGGAACAGGGCCCAAAGTTTAGGACACTAGCCCCAGCCTCTCTCGGACCGTATTCCGTGCGCGAATTTGAACTCATCCAAACCATTTGGGGACCTTTAAGTCATCAGGCTTGGGGGCCAATGCTTTCATAAATGTGTTGTCCTTACTGACGCTCCTCACCCCATGTAAGTACCATGTCCTTCTCTCCCCCCAGCAAGGTCCTTTCCATTCAGGGCTGCCTCCTCCTTCTGATGTTCCGGAATGGTCATACCACCTGACCTACATCCTTTATAATTGTGAGCTTTGTCATATGTCCTCAGAGTGAGTCCTAATCTTTTGGCCTCAAGATCCCACCTTAGTTGGCATGAATGCTGCCCCTGTGCCATGCAGGAGTTTGTCAGCTGGTGATTCTGGCTCTGGCCCTGGAGGCTGTTCTACAAGGTGAAGTCACTTCACCCAGCAGCTGGGGCCAGTCATGTGAGCAAGAATGGGCCACAAGTGTGTGAGCCAAAGTCTCCACTTCCTGTCTCAAACTCAGCTCCCTCTAAGCAGCCGAGGTTCCCAGGTTCCTCGGTCAGAACTTGGGTATGAGAACAAGCTATTTACTCCGGGGCCCGGATGCCATACCCACGGCTTTCACATCCAGGTCAAGGGGTTGTGAGCAACCGTCACACCAGGTTGGTTTCCTTTTTAACGACCGAGTTTGGGAAAGCGTCAAGCTAGACGGAATGCTATGTGGGAGAAATTTCAGAGGAGGAAAACCAGATTATCATTTTCAAAACAAAGACTCCATCCAAATAGTGTGAGTGCTTCCAGTGACGAATTGTTCCTCCTAAACCTGTGAAGGGAAAAACATGTCCGTGATTTCAAAGTTGGAGTCCCAACGCCGCTCTGCCACTGCCGAGCCATGTGGCCATGAGGCTTTCGCCTCACCTTTTGGGGCCTCAGTTTTTTCATCTAAAAGGAGGAGTTGGGTTAGACAATCTGACTCCTCTTCTGGCTCTAGATTCTATTTTTCTAATGTGCCCTTTGTAAGTTTCATAGTTTGAATAATTTGTTTGCAAGAACATAAAAACATATTATTTGTTGTTTATTGCTGTACCACTTAGTGCTGGTGGACAAAATCACAACAGCCCTCCTATAGCTGCATCACAAAACTGCTTGGGCTTGGTCTCCTGCATCAGAGCAGGACAAGTCACTCTTTGGGGGCAGAAATAGAATATTGGGGCCTAGCTACAATTATAAAAAATATTAACATGCCCTGTTATCCAGGATTGTTTTGTTCTGATTATAGAAAGTACATTCTAACCTGGCTGGGAGTTGTACACCCACCAGGACCTGGGAGTCAACCTTGGACCTGAGAGTCTACCTTGGACCTGGGAGTCAGTCTTGGACCTGGGAGTCTACTTGCCCCTGAGAGTCTACCTTGGACCTGGGAGTCTACTTTGGAATGCCTCCCATTCTCCTTGAAGAACTGCCTATTATCATGGAAAGATGAACAACCTTGTTGCCCAAACAGTGGAGTCCCCCCACCACCCTCCGCCCCCAATCCATTGCTTATTTCCTCGCTGTAATACCTATTTTGCATATCCATTCTCACTCCTTTTGCCTACTTCCCCATGTAATCTTTATCCTGCCCAATATAAGCAGCTGGCTTATGGGGGCGGGGGGGTTGCAGAGCCGATTTTTGTGGGTGACCTGCTGCTCTCCATGCTGCCAGCAGGATTGGAATAAACACTCATATATGATTCAACCCTGTCTCTGCTGTTTGGCTCAAGTAGCGACAGGCAGCTGGGATCCCCTGGTTGTCCGATTTCAGGTCTGCAAACCCCCAGTTTGAAGCACCTCCCCTCAGGGTCTGTCTTCGCACTGCCTATTCCCCACGCCCAAAATGCTGTTCCCTCAGTATGGAGGTGGCCACCTCATGCCCATCCAGATCTCCACTCAGATGTCACTCTTGGAGGTGCCTCCTTGACCCCTCTTTCTAAGAGGCCTTCCTCTCCGTGGACAGTCCTGCCTGTTTCTGTCACAGCAATCACCGCACAGGGAACTCACCCCATGCATTCATGTAGTGACTTGTTCATGGTGCCCCGGCTGGAAGGTGAGCTCCAGGAGAGCATGAATGTTGCCTCCGTATCCACCTCTGTTCTAGATCCCGAGGCACAGAGTAGGCACTCAGTAAATATTTATCAAATGACTGCCTGGCTTTCATAAATAACTGATGAAATTCTTATCAAATCAGCAGTGGGAAGAGATGATGGAATGGAGCCACTCAAGAATAACCACGGGGTGCTTGGGCTCTTACTTAGCAAGCCCTCCTCATCGGAGAACTGGGGAAAGCCCCATCAGGAGTGTCTTCATCCGGCATCCCGACCCAGCTGCTTCTCATCTGGACTTTCTGGCTGTATCTGAACAGCCTGACCTGAGCCCCTCCCCTCCGCCCCAGCAGGAACAGGACCTTCTCCGTACACCTGGGTTGGTCCTGGTCCAGAGCCCGACCTGCCTGTGTGCCTTTCACACGGTGGACCTACCAGCCCTGGTTTCATCGCGGGCAGGAGCTGTGGCTTTATCATGTCCGTATCCCGGGTGTCTAGCAGGCACACAGGACAGTCATGCCATCGCCAGTGGTCCGTGGGCCGTCTGCAGTGGCTCGGGAACTGTCTGCTCTGCGGCAGGCACGCACACCTCACACAGCAGGTAGCCAGGAGGGTGAGTCAGCCACGTGAGCGTGACCTTGAGAGGATGAGTTCCTCGTCATTAAAAAGGGGAAAATAATAGCTCCTACCTCATTGGATTTTTTATGGGATTAACTGAGAAAATGCAACTAAAATGCCCAGCCTAGGGCCTGGAACACAGTAAATGCTCAGTGAATGCTAGCTGTGATGTTGGGACTGCTAACATCTATTTGACTCTTTGTTAACCGCTGAAATTGCATCACTTAATCTCTTTTTGAGAATGAATGCTTTCTGTGACCTCTGTAAAGACAAATCAAAACAAAAACAAAAAAACCTCCTGAAAAATGTTAATGTGAAAAAACCATTGAAACCTGTAAAGAATTTTTGTGAGTTTATTTGAGACAAACTGTCGACATGTGCCGGGAAGAGGAACCTCAACGAATTGGGATAATGCTTGGGAGGTTGGCCAGTTACATCTGTATTTATACATTGCAATCAAAGGAAAGGGACGTAGGTGGGTTACATGAAATCCATTGGTGATAGACTAGAGAGGCGGGAGAAAGCAAAGCAGGGAAACCCCTGGGATTGGATAAAAAGTAAAATGATAGACACATGCTTAGGTGGGTGCAGGCAAATTAACATAACAATGAAGGAATTTGTGGTGTCTGTCCTGGAACCCAAGCGCATTAGTTAGGTTGTGCCCCAAGGGGTCCAGAAAAAGGGAAGTTACAAGTTACCCAGACATTTCAAGGGTATGTTATTGAAGTATGGTAGCAATTATCTCAGGTAGAAACTAGTTTAACTCTAACCCTGTTGTTTGGCTTCTGTACTTATTTGCTTTGTTTAACAAAAGAAAAGTTACTTTGATTTTCTGAACTTTTGTATGCTATCCCATTGATGGTGATCTCACTGGTTTTAGAAAGCACATTCTTCTGTACCTGGGAACCAGGACAGCACAATTACCCCAAATAGCCTCAGTGGCCACAGATAATGCGTTCTGGTTGACTCCGTGGTCCCAAGACCAGGACAGCACAATTACTCTACATTGCCGCGATGGCTCCAGATAACGTGTTTCTGTTGATTCAGTGATCCAGAGACCCACAACTATAATTTGACTAACTTGCTCAATTCCGCTTCTGTAACTGCTTTGTGCAAACCAAATTCCTCATTCCTAACCCGAGATGTAATTGATACCTTTGTGATTTTTGCCTATATAAATCTGGTGTTGCGGCCATATAAGCACTATGAGATTTGAGAGCAAAATGCCCCCTCGTAGTCCCGGATTTGAAATAAATGTGACTCCTTAATTCGACTTCTTGAGGTGTCCTTGTGTGATTCAAGGGGTACATTACAACAGTATCAGAAGTGTTA